GGGAGATGTGGGCATGGGAGATGTGGGCATGGGAGATGTGGGCATGGGAGAAGTGGGCATGGGAGAAGTGGGCATGGGAGATGTGGGCATGGGAGATGTGGGCATGGGAGATGTGGGCATGGGAGATGTGGGCATGGGAGATGTGGGCATGGGAGATGTGGGCATGGGAGATGTGGGCATGGGAGGCGTGGGCATGGGAGATGTGGGCATGGGAGATGTGGGCATGGGAGATGTGGCATGGGAGATGTGGGCATGGGAGAGAAGTGGGCATGGGAGAAGTGGGCATGGGAGATGTGGGCAATGGGGAGATGTGGGCATGGGAGATGTGGGCATGGGAGATGTGGGCATGGGAGATGTGGGCCATGGGAGATGTGGGCATGGGAGAGGGCGTGGGGCATGGGAGATGTGGGCATGGGAGGCCGTGGGCATGGGAGATGTGGGCATGGAGATGTGGGCATGGGAGATTGGGAGATGTGGGCATGGGAGATGTGGGCATGGGAGATGTGGGCATGGGAGATGTGGGCATGGGAGATGTGGGCATGGGAGATGTGGGCATGGGGGTGGGCATGGAGATGTGGGCATGGGAGATGTGGGCATGGGAGATGTGGGCATGGGAGATGTGGGCATGGGAGATGTGGGCATGGGAGATGTGGGCATGGGAGATGTGGGCATGGGAGATGTGGGCATGGGAGATGTGGGCATGGGAGATGTGGGCATGGGAGATGTGGGCATGGGAGATGTGGGCATGGGAGGCGTGGGCATGGGAGATGTGGGCATGGGAGATGTGGGCATGGGGAGATGTGGGCATGGGAGATGTGGGCATGGGAGATGTGGGCATGGGAGATGTGGGCATGGGAGGTGTGGGCATGGGAGATGTGGGCATGGGAGATGTGGGGCATGGGAGATGTGGGCATGGGAGAGGTGGGCATGGGAGGGTGGGCATGGGAGATGTGGGCATGGGAGATGTGGGCATGGGAGATGTGGGCATGGGAGATGTGGGCATGGGAGGAGATGTGGGCATGGGAGATGTGGGCATGGGAGATGTGGGCATGGGAGATGTGGGCATGGGAGATGTGGGCATGGGAGATGTGGGCATGGGAGATGTGGGCATGGGAGATGTGGGCATGGGAGATGTGGGCATGGGAGATGTGGGCATGGGAGATGGGTGGGCATGGGAGATGTGGGCATGGGAGATGTGGGCATGGGAGATGTGGGCATGGGAGATGTGGGCATGGGAGAAGTGGGCATGGGAGAAGTGGGCATGGGAGATGTGGGCATGGGAGATGTGGGCATGGGAGATGTGGGCATGGGAGATGTGGGCATGGGAGATGTGGGCATGGGAGGCGTGGGCATGGGAGATGTGGGCATGGGAGGCGTGGGCATGGGAGATGTGGGCATGGGAGATGTGGGCATGGGAGATGTGGGCATGGGAGATGTGGGCATGGGAGATGTGGGCATGGGAGATGTGGGCATGGGAGATGTGGGCATGGGAGTGTGGGAGGCGTGGGCATGGGGAGATGTGGGCATGGGAGATGTGGGCATGGGAGGCGTGGGCATGGGAGATGTGGGCATGGGAGATGTGGGCATGGGAGATGTGGGCATGGGAGATGTGGGCATGGGAGATGTGGGCATGGGAGATGTGGGCATGGGAGGCGTGGGCATGGGAGATGTGGGCATGGGAGATGTGGGCATGGGAGATGTGGGCATGGGAGATGTGGGCATGGGAGAAGTGGGCATGGGAGATGTGGGCATGGGAGGTGTGGGCATGGGAGATGTGGGCATGGGAGATGTGGGCATGGGAGATGTGGGCATGGGAGAGGTGGGCATGGGAGGCGTGGGCATGGGAGATGTGGGCATGGGAGATGTGGGCATGGGAGATGTGGGCATGGGAGATGTGGGCATGGGAGAAGTGGGCATGGGAGATGTGGGCATGGGAGGTGTGGGCATGGGAGATGTGGGCATGGGAGACGTGGGCATGGGAGATGTGGGCATGGGAGATGTGGGCATGGGAGATGTGGGCATGGGAGGCGTGGGCATGGGAGATGTGGGCATGGGAGATGTGGGCATGGGAGATGTGGGCATGGGAGATGTGGGCATGGGAGATGTGGGCATGGGAGATGTGGGCATGGGAGATGTGGGCATGGGAGGCGTGGGCATGGGAGATGTGGGCATGGGAGATGTGGGCATGGGAGATGTGGGCATGGGAGATGTGGGCATGGGAGATGTGGGCATGGGAGGCGTGGGCATGGGAGATGTGGGCATGGGAGATGTGGGCATGGGAGATGTGGGCATGGGAGATGTGGGCATGGGAGATGTGGGCATGGGAGATGTGGGCATGGGAGGCGTGGGCATGGGAGATGTGGGCATGGGAGATGTGGGCATGGGAGATGTTGGGCCATGGGAGATGTGGGCATGGGAGATGTGGGCATGGGAGATGTGGGCATGGGAGACGTGGGCATGGGAGATGTGGGCATGGGAGATGTGGGCATGGGAGATGTGGGCATGGGAGATGTGGGCATGGGAGATGTGGGCATGGGAGATGTGGGCATGGGAGGTGTGGGCATGGGAGATGTGGGCATGGGAGATGTGGGCATGGGAGATGTGGGCATGGGAGGTGTGGGCATGGGAGATGTGGGCATGGGAGATGTGGGCATGGGAGATGTGGGCATGGGAGGCGTGGGCATGGGAGATGTGGGCATGGGAGATGTGGGCATGGGAGATGTGGGCATGGGAGATGTGGGCATGGGAGATGTGGGCATGGGAGATGTGGGCATGGGAGATGTGGGCATGGGAGATGTGGGCATGGGAGATGTGGGCATGGGAGATGTGGGCATGGGAGATGTGGGCATGGGAGATGTGGGCATGGGAGGTGTGGGCATGGGAGATGTGGGCATGGGAGATGTGGGCATGGGAGATGTGGGAGGGATGTGGGCATGGGAGATGTGGGCATGGGAGATGTGGGCATGGGAGATGTGGGCATGGGAGATGTGGGCATGGGAGATGTGGGCATGGGAGATGTGGGCATGGGAGATGTGGGCAATGGGAGATGTGGGCATGGGAGATGTGGGCATGGGAGATGTGGGCATGGGAGATGTGGGCATGGGAGATGTGGGCATGGGAGGTGTGGGCATGGGAGATGTGGGCATGGGAGATGTGGGCATGGGAGATGTGGGCATGGGGAGAGGTGGGCATGGGAGATGTGGGCATGGGAGATGTGGGCATGGGAGATGTGGGCATGGGAGATGTGGGCATGGGAGATGTGGGCATGGGAGATGTGGGCATGGGAGATGTGGGCATGGGAGATGTGGGCATGGGAGATGTGGGCATGGGAGATGTGGGCATGGGAGATGTGGGCATGGGAGATGTGGGCATGGGAGATGTGGGCATGGGAGATGTGGGCATGGGAGATGTGGGCATGGGAGATGTGGGCATGGGAGATGTGGGCATGGGAGATGTGGGCATGGGAGATGTGGGCATGGGAGATGTGGGCATGGGAGATGTGGGCATGGGAGGTGTGGGCATGGGAGATGTGGGCATGGGAGATGTGGCATGGGAGATGTGGGCATGGGAGATGTGGGCATGGGAGGATGTGGGCATGGGAGATGTGGGCATGGGAGATGTGGGCATGGGAGATGTGGGCATGGGAGATGTGGGCATGGGAGATGTGGGCATGGGAGATGTGGGCATGGGAGATGTGGGCATGGGAGATGTGGGCATGGGAGATGTGGGCATGGGAAGATGTGGGGCATGGGAGATGTGGGCATGGGAGATGTGGGCATGGGAGATGTGGGCATGGGAGATGTGGGCATGGGAGATGGTGGGGCATGGGGGGGGGGGAGATGTGGGCATGGGAGATGTGGGCATGGGAGATGTGGGCATGGGAGATGTGGGCATGGGAGATGTGGGCATGGGAGATGTGGGCATGGGAGATGTGGGCATGGGAGATGTGGGCATGGGAGATGTGGGCATGGGAGATGTGGGCATGGGAGATGTGGGCATGGGAGATGTGGGCATGGGAGATGTGGGGCATGGGAGATGTGGGCATGGGAGATGTGGGCATGGGAGATGTGGGCATGGGAGATGTGGGCATGGGAGATGTGGGCATGGGAGATGTGGGCATGGGAGATGTGGGCATGGGAGATGTGGGCATGGGAGGCGTGGGCATGGGAGATGTGGGCATGGGAGATGTGGGCATGGGAGATGTGGGCATGGGAGGTGTGGGCATGGGAGATGTGGGCATGGGAGATGTGGGCATGGGAGATGTGGGCATGGGAGGTGTGGGCATGGGAGATGTGGGCATGGGAGATGTGGGCATGGGAGATGTGGGCATGGGAGGCGTGGGCATGGGAGATGTGGGCATGGGAGATGTGGGCATGGGAGATGTGGGCATGGGGGAGATGTGGGCATGGGAGATGTGGGCATGGGAGATGTGGGCATGGGAGATGTGGGCATGGGAGATGTGGGGCATGGGAGATGTGGGCATGGGAGATGTGGGCATGGGAGATGTGGGCATGGGAGATGTGGGCATGGGAGATGTGGGCATGGGAGATGTGGGCATGGGAGATGTGGGCATGGGAGATGTGGGCATGGGAGATGTGGGCATGGGAGGTGTGGGCATGGGAGATGTGGGCATGGGAGATGTGGGCATGGGAGATGTGGGCATGGGAGGTGTGGGCATGGGAGATGTGGGCATGGGAGATGTGGGCATGGGAGATGTGGGCATGGGAGGCGTGGGCATGGGAGATGTGGGCATGGGAGATGTGGGCATGGGAGATGTGGGCATGGGAGATGGGGGCATGGGAGATGTGGGCATGGGAGATGTGGGCATGGGAGATGTGGGCATGGGAGATGTGGGCATGGGAGACGTGGGCATGGGAGATGTGGGCATGGGAGATGTGGGCATGGGAGATGTGGGCATGGGAGGTGTGGGCATGAGAGGTGTGGGCTTTGCAGGGTGTTTTTGAGAACTCTCAAAGGCACCCTGCAGACTCTTTGCTCACCTACTTCCTCAGCCAGCAATCTCCACGCCTCGAATCTCAGATCCCGGGTGTTGGCCTGACCACACCCGCACCCACACCGACACCCACACCCGCACCCGCACCCACACCCGCACCCGCACCCGCACCCGCACCCGCACCCGCACCCGCACCCGCACCCGCACCCGCACCCACACCCACACCCACACCCACACCCACACGACACATGCACACGGGGAATGGAGGGGTGGAAAATGCGAGGGTAAGCAACCATCAAACCTCGTATACTGCTTACAGTCACACTTCACTCACACTCACACACTTGCCCACAGTCAGATTGAAGTAATGCACGCTTGATCCAACCCACGTACAATGACATTGTCCCATGAGTACACGAGTCCGAAGGCTTCATCTGGTCTCATAGCCAGCCGTATTCTGTCCACTCCTCGCTTCCTCATGCGATCATTGAGGAAATCCTGGCAGAAGGGATGGGCGGAAGAAGAGGGCCGTATATTCAAGGCGCCGTATTCTGTCCACTCCTCTGTCCACTCCTCTGTCCACTCCTCTCTTCCTCGGGGCGATCAGTCAGAAAGTCTTGAAAGAGGTCAGGAAAAAACAAAACGGTTTGTTTCAGCGTAACGGGCAAAAAACTCAGTCATGCTCCAATCACAACTCACCACGTCTACTTGCAGCGCTCCCTTGGGTCGGAAAGTGGCGAATCCCTCCCCTCGCTCCGCTCCTATCTCCTGAGAGGAGGCGACGGAATCAGTCAAACGGGCGAATAAGTTGTCCAGGGGTAAGCAAGCACACCGTGCAAACAAGCGGAGCCCAAATAGCGTTTCAGAAACGAAGGAACAAATCGGGTTGCCGACGACGTTACAGCATCTTTCAGGGACGCACCTCTTCGCCGGGAAACGGTCCTGGCAGGGAGCGTCTGGCCTGAATTAATGGAGTCGATAGAGGCGAAACGACCTCTGGCTCCACTGTACTCTCGCAGCTGCTGCTCCTGCTGCTGCCCCTGCTGCTGCTGCTGCTGCTGCTGCTGCTGCTCCTGCTGCTGCTGCTGCTGCTGCTCCTGCTGCTTCTGCTCCTGCTGCTTCCGCGGGTATCGTAACACAGGGCGCTAAGACATGTCCAGCTGTGAAGTGGTTCTAGAGAAGCCGTAGATTTGTGTGGTAAGTTGGTCGAGGAACGATGAGGGTGCGAGGAGAGAATCTGGCTTTGAGTAGATGACGCATATGCTGTCGTCACCAGCTTTTTTCTAACCCGAGGAATCGAATCTGTTATAAGGCAGCTACGATGATTTCGAGGGGTCGATAAAGACGGCGCTCCGATCTGATTGGAAGTCGCAGAAGGATCAGAGTTATACACGCGGCAGGTGTGTAAGAAGGACTGCGCTGTAGCTAGGGGCGTGGAGCAAGACGCCATAGAGCCCGCAATCCCTCGTTCGTAAGGGTATCGAGTCGGCGCGTGGTATTAGTGTCCCGAGCCAAATATATCCGACTCTCGCTTCACCAGTAGGCCGTAAAAAGGCCTGCGTGGCTGCTCTAATTTCTTATTCCTGTCTCGCAAGGATGCAGCAGACAAGGTTATACACCCAGTATTTTCACAGGGGGTGCCGCCGAGAGGATATTCACCCCCCGAAAGCAGCTCCTGAAGACCACATCCGTATACCCTTGAAAAACAAACTGAACTTGGGTCTCTATACGAAACGTTTACTGCTCGATTTAGTGTTTCTCGAGTCAGGAAACCGGACGTCAGCTTAGGCAGTGCTCAAAGTTTTCCCCCGCGCGGAGTCTGTCGCGCTTATGCCGTAGGAACAAGGGAGTACTGTCTACGCACCCAGAAATGGTCAGGGTGGAAACAATATTCTGCTACCGCCCAATTTCAGGGTGTGAAATTACCGCGTGCTTTGTGTATTCGATTACTATCTAGAGCAAAATGTAAAGGCAGAATTCGCTCTTCCATCAATTTCTTTCGTAACTCTTAGTGCGAGGCTGGTAGCTCGAAGTTCCCATAGGAAATATCGGGTGTTTGTTATAGCGAGCATCATATGAAAGCTGGAGCAAGGTTTCTGTGGCTCTCTGACATTTGCTCGACACGTGTCAGCCTTGTTTGGATTTCGTCCAGCTGGTTCGTCCGTCGCGCTTTCGCCCTCGAGCACACCGAATTGAGTTGACGAGCCAAAAAATGTCACCCACGAATCAGGCTCGGACCGCAGCTAGGTCAGCTTTCGGAGCCGAACCTTTTCCCTGCCTGCGCGGGAACCGTTCGACCGCCGCATATCCGTGTTGGCTCTTCGCCCTTCGGCAGTTGGGGTCCTCCTCACTTCGCACGGTCATCCAATTCACGACACTGCCGGTGATGGCGACAGCAAACCCGACTTTCCGTTGGGAGGGGGGAAAGAATCCAAGGAACAATATCCGTTCTCTGATTTTTGCGGACGGTGCAGATTTATTGGAACGTTGCGCGACGAAGCGTAGCGAAGAGGTGGGACTGGGACAAGGCAAGCGTGAGGGAGGGGAAACGATCAACCCCAAATGACGATGGATGGGGGAGGAACCCCAACACTGTACTGTACAATTATGGCACGCAGATGATCGTTCAGTTTAGTGCTGTACTGCTGAAGGAGAGGAGGAGGAATTGGGGTCAGCAGGGGGACGGTCATCACGCCATCATCCATTCCTTGCCTCAGAATTTGTAGCACCTGATTCAGAGAGGCGGTATAGAACGTTAGTATCGCTTGGCCTCGATAGTCTAAGCTTCTTACCTAGTGTCGGGAACGTTGGTTCTGCAGGTGACCTTTTCGAGAAGCCGTTGTGAAATGTGGTGCGAAAACTAAATTTAGGGACCTATGGTAGTTTCCTCTTCAATCTGAATTCTGACATCTAATGTTGTGGCTGCTTAGATTATTTCACTAATTCCTCCTACTTACTCACGACTGGCCGCTTGGTTTCGTTTAGTTTATCATTCGCTAAGCCCGCTGTTTAAGCCGTTCACACGCAGAAATGGACGAACGGGAGTTCTTCACAGAGTACGGAGAAGCTAGCAAGTACCGTCTACTAGAAGTGATAGGCCGAGGCAGCTATGGTATCGTTTGTTCAGCCATAGATACTCACACAGGAGAGAAGGTCGCGATTAAGAAGATCAATGACATATTCGAGCACGTGTCAGATGCGACGCGGATTCTTCGCGAAATCAAGCTGCTTAGGTTGCTCCGACACCCCGATATTGTGGAGATCAAGCATATCATGCTTCCTCCGTCCAGGCGAGACTTCAAGGACATCTATGTCGTCTTCGAGCTGATGGAATCTGACCTCCATCAAGTGATTAAGGCGAACGATGACCTAACACCTGAGCACTTCCAGTTCTTCCTTTACCAGCTGCTGAGAGCTCTGAAGTACATTCACACAGGTAACTTAACATTTAGATTTTGAGATTCTTCTACGAGGGTTGCGACAATGGGTCTGATCTCTAATTCGGCGGTTTTCCGTTTTCAGCGAACGTTTTTCATCGAGACTTGAAGCCCAAGAACATCCTGGCAAACGCTGACTGTAAACTAAAGATCTGCGACTTCGGCTTGGCCAGGGTTGCTTTCAGCGATGCACCGACGGCCATTTTCTGGACGGTACGCTGTCGGAAATTCGGTCCCGTTCGTGTATGTCGGCGTAGAATCGTTAGTCATCTGCAAGTCCCTTTGGGGCTTCTGAATGGCGGAGTCCAGCAGCGCTTTTCCAAGACCTTGTGATGCATTCTTTGTTAATTCCTGCATCTGTTGATCTACCTTGCAGGATTACGTGGCCACGAGATGGTACCGAGCGCCTGAGCTTTGTGGCTCTTTCTTCTCCAAGGTAACCGTCTTTTCGTTTTCGTGGTTCTGATGCTATTCCTATCCCACGTTTTCATCCACTCACGGCGGTTTTCATTATGAATACAGTACACTCCCGCCATTGACATATGGAGCATAGGCTGCATCTTCGCTGAGCTTCTTACTGGGAAACCGTTGTTTCCCGGAAAGAACGTGGTTCACCAACTCGAGCTTATGACGGACCTTCTGGGAACGCCTTCGCCAGAGTCGATCGCCAAGGTAATAGAAAAGTCCCGTTCCCTATTCATTCTCCTGTGTGTTTTGTAGATCCTCCTTAACACCTCGTATCTGGCTGCCAGGTTCGGAACGAGAAGGCACGGAGATACCTTGGGAGCATGCGGAAGAAGCTACCAATGCCATTGTCGGCGAAGTGCCCGAATGCAGACCCGCTTGCTGTGAAGCTCATGGAGAAGATGCTCGCATTCGACCCAACCCACAGGCCCACTGCAGAAGAGGTATGTTCATCTGTTGGCCGCTAACGTCAGCTTTTGAGGCATTAGCTATTAAAAGGGCCCAATCAACCTGAGCCCACCTTTTGCAGGCTCTTGCCGACCCTTACTTCAAGGGCCTGGCCAAGGTGGAGAGAGAACCTGCGGCTCAACCCATCACGAAGGTCGAATTTGAGTTCGAGAGGCGGAGACTGAACATGGACGACGTCAGAGAGCTCATCTACCGCGAGGTACACCTTGCAAACGGCATGGAGCAATCTTCCTTTCCTTGCTGACCCTATCACAGGTTCTCACTTAGTAACCCTCAATGCTTGACTGCAGATTCTGGAGTATCATCCTCAGATGCTGAAAGACTTTCTCAACGGGACGGACCCTGGAAACTTTCTTTATCCAAGGTACCGTATGGATATTAAGCTGATTGCATGGGGATGATCGCGATTAAAGAAGAAATGCTGAAGTGATAACCAAACAGAAATGGCATTGCTGGCATTGAGGAAACCAATAAGCGTTATGGCTGAAAACTGGTCCTTGCATTTCATCTCATGGTGAATTCATGGTATTCATAATGTTCATCCGCTCTGTCATTTGGTCCCTTGCAGTGCTGTCGACCAGTTCCGACGTCAGTTCCACACCCTAGAAGAGCATTATGGGAAGGGTGGTGATGCACCGTCACTGGAGCGCCAGCATGCCTCCCTCCCTAGGTACGCATCTCATATTGGATTACTTACATAGCTTTGGGCTGGTTTTCGTGATATGATTTTTTTACTCTGTTGTCTAATCTTATGACTGCGTGATCAGGGAACGTGTCCCGGGCGAGAGGAATGAGTCCCGAGATGAAGCTCAGCTGGAAGAGGAGAGGAGACGAAGAGCAGCAAGGCAGCAAAGGGCATGGGCACAATCAGGATACAAGGGTATGCATAATTTATTCCTCTCCAGCAGATTGTGAAGAACTACTGTGCTGTTTATCAACTGCTTCTGCCAGTCATCCTGAGCAAATCTTCCCTTACCATGGCCATATCCTTCCACCCTCTTCATGGACCCTCTCTTCCACCCTCCCCATTCTCTAAATCCCCCCCGCCTCCCCCATTCCCCAGATTTATCCCGCCCTCCCCATTCCCCGAATTCACTCCACAATCCCCATTCCCCAAATTCCTGCCACCCTCCCGATTTCCCCAAATTCCTGCGACCCTCCCATTCCCCAAATTACTGCCACCCGTCGCAGTTTCAATGCTATCCTCCCCCAATGTCCACTCAGCACGTTCCCAATATCCTCCACCCTTCCCATTCCCCAATTACTTTCTCGCACACTTGCAGCGGGAACAGGCCAGCCTGCAGCGCGTCCCGGCAGGGTAGTGGGGTCCAGCGGGGGAGTGAACGGCGCACAGAGAGACGATGTCCGGCGGTACGCTCGCACAGCAGCATTGAGTGCCCAGTCTCCATTCCACATCGGCAGCCAACTAGAAGACTCCACACGGAAACCAGCAAGACAGGAGGCAGGAGCTCGATAAATGGTGTAATAGTCTTCCTATCATCTAGTTCGCATGTGATTCGTCCAGTTTCTTGGTTTTTTACAGCCATTCTGCAGTGCCTCGCAAAGGGTTTACTTCGCATTGCCAGCATAATGTGCTATCGGCTCATGGCAGAGCTTCTGTAATGGGACCCTATGCAGGTGTCTCTCAGCTCAGACTTATACGCACATGTAGTTCCTTCCAGCCAACCCTGGTACTTGTGTATTGACTTCATCGCGAGTTGGCTGATTCCAGCTCCGAACACCATAGCAATTGCAAGGGAATATACAAAATAAAGCATTTCCAAATCAGCAGTGTTGGGCTGAGAAAAGCCCTAGGATCTTTTCAGAGACTAAGTCCCTACTTGTATGAAATTCTTGAGTAGTGCAGCGGAAGTGTTGAGTAGTTGAACCCTTGCACTAGTATGTGAGAGCAAGTGATTGATTAAAAGAAACAAGCATACAGCAATATATAGAAAATTAAGAAATGAGGCAGTTGTAGAATACAGTTGAAGGAACGGTTATCGAGTCGCACAGCGACTCGATTGTCGGTTCGGTTACCACCCTTGCAGTCGCAGCGGTCAATCGCAACCTCCGGTTGCGACCCTTCGAGTCCCTTCGCCCTTTCGTATTCTTTCGTCCAACCTCCTCGTGTAACCTCCGTTGACTCGCGTACTCGATACGACTTTTCTCGAGTGTAGTGTTACACTTCAGAAACGCTCAAGTCTTCGAGGTATTTCCAACAAGCAGCTGAAGCAGCTGTCTCCAGCATCCCTAATCATAATCAGATTGACAGCTTGAAGCCTAATCCAACCAGAAACACCATCCTCACTCATTGCCTTCCTCCACGGTCTTCCCACCGCCTCCCCTATGATTACTCCCCCCTCCCTCCCCTTCAAAATACTCCCCACTCGCTGTAGCACTGTTGATGCCACCCCCACCACCACCCTTAGTCGTCTCCCCTCCTCCGCCGCCTCCTCCCCACGACCCTCCCCCTCCTCCCATTGCCGCTCCCCCTTCCCACCCACCTGCGTTGCCATCAGCGCTGCCCATCCCCCCGCCTCCTCCCATTTGCCCTCCCCCTCCTCCCCCTCCTCTTCCAAAGAAGGCTGGGTTGATGTGGGGAGCAACACCTGGGAGACCAGCGCCCATGCCTGGAAACGCCCCCCCCGTGCCTCCCCCCATACCTCCCCCCATGTTTCCCCCCATGTTTCCGCCCATGCCTCCCCCCATACCTCCCCCCATCCCCCCCCCTGGGCCCATTTGGTTGAACCCAGGGCCTCCTCGGGGGAAACCTCCCCCTCCCCCTGGTGGACCAACGAAGCCCCTTCCTCCCCCTCCCCCTCCCCCTGCTACAGCCCCCCCTCCTGCCCCCATTCCCCCCGGGCCCATTGAGGGGTCGAACCCCCCACCTACCCCCATAGGCGGCCCTCCGGGGAAGGGCATCCCCCCTGCACCAGCTCCCCTTCCCCCTCCTCCTCTTCCCATCATAGCCCCTCCTCCCCCCATCCCTCCACCCCAGTCCCCCCCTGCCCCGCCTCTCCCCCCCTCCCCCCATCTACTCCGCCTCTTCCCCCCATTCCCATTCCGCGCCCTGCCATCATTCCTCCCCGGCCAAAGCCTCTCCCTGGCCCAGAACCTCCCCCCATGGGCCCCCCTCCTCCCATTCCCCCCCCCATTCCTCCGCCCATCGGCCCTCCCCCGCCCATTGGCCCCGCTCCTCCCCCCATCCCTCCTCCCATGCCCATCCCACCCATAGGACCCCCCATACCCCCTCCCAAACCTCCACCCATCCCTCCCCCCATCCCTCCCCCCATGCCTCCCCCCATGCCTCCACCCATCCCTCCCCCCATGCCTCCTCCCATCCCTCCCCCCATGCCTCCTCCCATTCCCCCCATACCTGGACCCATTCCCCCCATTCCCATCGGGCCCCCCATTGGCCCCCCACCCCTTCCAGGAAAATTCCCCATGCCTGCACCTCCCCCACCTCCTCTCCCCCCACCCATGGGCCCCATTCCACCCATCCCCCCTGGTCCACCCATTCCCCCCATCCCTCCCCCCATGCCTCCCCCCATTCCGCCCATCCCCCCGGACCTCCCCCCATGCCCCCAGGCCCCATGTGGGGGCCGGCTTGGGCAGAAGCCATAGCTAGATGCCTTAGGGTTTGGGGGGTGGCAGGTGTGACTACACACGCACGGCCGTTAAAGAGGCGGCCAGCCATGTTCTCCTTACAAGCACGTGCTGCTGCTGCATCGGCGAAATCAACCTGTGAAGCAGCAGTGTTTAGAGGGGAGAACATGCAAAAGGATGGCACTAGTTAGCACCCGCAAAGAGTATTCGGACCCAAACCAAGAAACTATTAAATGATGGGAAATCAAGAAGCCCCAGGGCTTTAGGTCCCCAGGGCCTTAGGTTTTCGGGTTTAATCTCCACTCACCTGGCAGTACCCCTTGGATCGTCCTGTAGCCGTTTCGTCAAAGAGCTTCACCTCCACCCCAGCTTGTCGTACTCCGATGCGCCCGCCTCTATCTCCGCATTCTCTCAGTCAACTGGGTCACCAGATCAAGACAAAACCCGACAGATAAGACTAAAATCGCCACCCACCTGGCAGTACCCCTTGGATCGTCCTGTGGCCTTCTCCTCAAAGAACTTCACCCCCACCACCTTGCCATACTCCGACGCCCCTGCCTCTATATCCGCATCTGTCGTCCACCAGTGCAGATCGCCCACAAACACCGCCAAACCCTCAAACCCCCCTCCCCCTCCCCCTCCCCCGCCTCTGCCTCCGCCTCCACCTCCCCCCACTCCGCCTCCGCTCCCCCCTCCCCCGCCTTGCCCCATCCCCATTCCCCCTTGGCCCATCCCCCCTGGTCCCATTCCCCCTCCGCTCATCCCCCCTGGCCCTGCTCCCCCACCGCCCATCCCTCCGCCCATCCCGCCCATTCCCCCTCCGCTCATTCCCCCCATCCCCCCTCCACCCATCCCGCCCTGCCCCATCCCGCCTGACCCCGTTCCCCCCATTCCCCCTTGCCCCTGAAACCCCCCACCTCCCTGCCCTCCACCTTGCACCATCTGCCCGGGATTTCCGCCGCTTCCGCCACCCATTCCCCCGCCCATCCCCCCACTATGCTGCTGCTGCGCGCCTGGAATTGCGCCGCCAATCCCCACATGCCCCGCCACGTCCTGCGCGGGGCGCTGCGCTTGGGCGGAACTTCCGCCTCCTTCCGGCTGCTGTGCGTTCCCCCCCGGTTGCACGTTCTGGGAAATTGCCCCGTCGCCTTCCCCCTGGCCGCCTCGTCCCCCGTCGCCGTCCCCGCCACCACCGCTTCCGCCGCCGCCGCTTCCGCCGCCGTCAATCCCGCCGCTTCCGGCTGTTCCGCCACCAGCAGTGCGTTTCCTCTCTTCATCCTCGTTATGGCCTTCTCCGTCCCCTGTTTTTAACGCGTCTCCTTCATCCTCGATTTCGTACGTTAGTTCCAACTCCTCGTCCTCGGGGTGATCTGCCATATCGATGCGGCTACAAAAGCGGACGGATCGGCCCGAAACAACGGAAACGGATTGCTGGGAACAGCTGGTGCGTGGATAGCAGGGCAACCGGAGGGACGACGAGCGGGAAGACAAACGGCGGGAAACGCGGAGCTACCGCTGTTCAGACACAGCTAGTCTGGATGGGAAAATCTAGGGCGGGTTTAGAAAATCTGGGAGCTTTCAAACTCGAAATTTATAGTTTCGCAAATTTCCCAACCATGTGGTTCTTTTTCGCACATCGAGACTGTGATCTGCCGTGAGTGTACCTTTCACCTGCATTTTTTGTCAGACGTCCTGTTATTAACGCGTATTTTCTGATCCTTGCAAGCCTACAGCTTTATCTTATGTGCTGGTCGGCCTGCTAGAAGCCCTGACTTCAGTTAGTCATAAGGTCTATCTCTGGCAGACTAAAGACCTGAGAGACATGGAAACCAATAGAGAACCCGTTATAAGAGATACTCAAACGTTTATCGCGGATAAGGCAAGAGAACCGTCAGGAGAGTTCGAGCCCTCGTTAGAAGAACGTAGAGTCGGGTCGTCGTCTTCGCATGGCGGGTTACCAGAGTGTTACGTGATCGTGCATAACGTGGCGAAGAGGCATAATATCGGCATGTTGCTTCGGAGGTAAGGGGTGACGCTACATAGTCGCGCCACGGGAACTTACATTGCAGTTACGACGTCTTTACGATACTAGGTTTCTCACGCAATAACATTTCAATCGGTAAATTCGTGCGCGTTCGTAGCGATGAATGCAGATCCATCACGCTTGCCTTCTCCCCGCTCATCCTCCCTCCGCTCCCGTTTCTCTGTTCGAGGCGCCTCACAAATCCATGCGTGAGGAGTCTATTTTTTAGGCGCCTCACAAATCCATGCATGAGGAGTCTATTTTTAGGCGCCTCAAAATCCGCGCATGACAGTCGACCCTTGAGCGTGAGGAGTCTATTCTTGAGCGTGAGGAGTCTATTCTTGAGCGTGAGGAGTCTATTCTTGAGGCGCCTCAAAATTGGCTTGCCTTCTCCCCGCGCATCCTCCCTCCTCTCCCGTTTCTCCCTCCCTCCAGCCTTCTCCATCCCGCTTCTCTCTTCTCTCCCACCATCACATTTCCTGCAATTCGCTTGTGCTATATCATCGCACTCAATAGCGCGACGGCGTTCAACGTGCATCAGATCCTGGTGGTCGGTCGGAGGGACCTCAGTGCGTTCAGCAGCCATGGGTCCTCGCGTCCCTAGTTTTACCCTCTCCGTATTCTCCTCCCCTCTCAACTCCCAACATTTTGCAGGGTGTTTTTGAGAATTCTCAAAAACAACCGGCAGCCATGGGTCCTCGCGTCCCTTCTTTTACCCTCTCCGTATTCTCCTCCCCTCTCATCTCCTTAACAGCGCCACGGCGTTCAACGTGCATCAGATCCTGGTGGTGGGTCGGCGAGACTTCAGTGCGTTCGGGAGCCATGGTGCTGCGGATCACGTGTCTCTGAAGCATTTCAATTCGCTAACAGACGCCAAGACGTACCTGCAGGTTGGTTTACCTCCCGGTACAGTCACATTTCTACTTTGGCAGCCATGGTGCTGCGGATCACGTGTCTCTGAAGCTTTTGAATTCGTGAACAGACGCCAAGACTTACCTCCAGGTTGGTGTTATTGCACCTTGCTTGTCCGTGCGATAGTAACTTCGTTTTGAGCCGACTCAAAACGAAATTAGTATCATTCGTTAACAGACGCCAAGACTTACCTCCAGGTTGGTGCTATCGCACTTGCTTGTCATCGCACCTTGCTTGTCAGGCATGCCTTGGTGCACGCTCAGGCTCTCAGCGAACCCTTCTTTTGTGCTGCTGTCCTCAGTTATCATGCAGACATGTCATGTCAATGTCATGTCAATGTTGTGGCAATGTCATGGCAATGTCATGTCATTGTCACTGCAATGCCATTTCAATGTCATGTCAATGTCATTTCAATGTCATGTCAATGTCATTTCAGTGTCATGTCAATATCATTTCAGTGTCATGTCCATGTCACAGCAGTGTCATGTCCATGTCACAGCAGTGTCATGTCGATGTAACGTCAATGCCCTGTTGGTACCACGCTGACTCCATTTTGTTGTCCGGTAAGGACCGCAGCTCATTCGGAGTGGAGATGGCTGAATGCTGCTGGCGGTGGTGCATTTATGCATGCTGTGATTACGCATGCCATGTTATGCTTGCTGTGTGTGGGCAGTGGCAGAGGGATTGCAGCACACCTTGGGTGGAGATTGCTGTCAATTGTTGTATTTATGCCTGCTGTACTTATTCATATCATCTCATGCCATGCCATGCCTATTCATGCCATGCCATGCTATGCCATGCCATGCCATGCTCTGCTTGTTGTGTGTGGGCAGTAGGAGAGGGATTGCAGCATATGCGGGGTGGAGATTGTTGACAATGCACGCCCCATACAGTCACACCCATTCTCTGGCAACACCGCTTTTCTCCTTGGCAACGAGGTACCTTCCCTTCCACGTTCTCACACTCCTGCAGTTCTGTACATTCTCCGGTACTCCTTCATCCTCTAACGTCCCTGCTGCAGTATGTGCAATGCCGTCTCTCTCTCCCCTTCTCTCCCCTCGTTTGCTCTCCTCCTCTCCTTTCGCTCCCTCCCCACGATCTCCCCTCGCCCAACAGGGCACAGGCCTCTCCTCCACTGAGCTAGCAGTGTGTGATGCCTTTGCCGACATCCCTCACAGGCCTCTTGGGTGATGCCTTGGTCTACGTCCCTCACTAAGCCCCAAGCCAACCCCCAAACCGTCGTCACTCATGAGAGCTTTAGAGGCGCCTCAAAAGCACGTCCCTCACTAGGCCCCAAGCCAACCCCCAAACCCGCACCCCTCTCCCACCAGCGCACGGGTCTCTGCCCCACTGAACTGACGGTGTGCGGTTCCTTTGTCTACATTCCTCAGCACGGGCCAAGCCTGTCCCCCAACCAAACCGTCACCCACCGAACCCCCACTCACCCCTCTCCCAACAGGGCACAGGCCTCTCCCCCACAGAGCTAGCGGTGTGCGATTCCTTCGTCTACATCCCTCAGCACGGCCCAAGCCTGTCTCTCAAACCTTTCACCCATTGAAACCTCACTTAACCCTCCAACAGGGCACTGGTCTCTCCCCCACTGAGCTAGCGGTGTGCGATTCCTTTGTCTACATCCCTCAGCACGGCCCTGGGACTGCGTCTCTCAATGTCATTGTGGCTGCGTCCATTGTGCTGCACCACTTTGCAGGTAAGAATTGGTTCACATCTTTCCGGATCAATTCTATCTTAGATTTTGAGTCAACTCGAAAGTCAGCTCGTTCCATTGTGCCGCACCACTTGACACGTAAGAAATGCTCCACACCTTTCCAAATAGTTCTATGTTGGCAGCCGCGTGTAGCATTTTTCGGGGCCATGGCGGAGTGTGACTTATGAGGTTGTCATCCTGCTCTTTTTCTCTTATGCCTTCTTTGGTGCTTCTAAACCTTTTTCGAGCAAGTGACCCTTTTTCTGCCTGCATCCACCTCTCTCCAGTCTGGGCTCGGTACCCCGTACGCGAGCGGGAAGGTGCAAAGTTTTCAGTTGCTGCCCGACCAATGAGGAGGGGGCCTCGGAACCGCTGCCCGGAAGATCCTGCGGAACTGGCAGCGAGGAGGGAGAGAAGGCAGGAAGCAGCAGATGGTGACACGTGGCAGGATATGGAGGATGGATCGCTGGGATTGCTGGAAGGAGAGGAGGGAGGGGTGGGAGAGGCGCGGTAACTGAGGGACAAAACAGAAGGATCGGCATGAATTGGTGAATAAAAAGCTTGGGTAGAAGCATGGTATCTTCTTCTTGCTTATCTGGATATCGTATAGTGATATGCAATTGTTCTACTGCAGACGTCTACCATATGCAGAAGGCCCTATAAGTTCTACCCTATGAGCAGTGCCCTGCCAGTACTGTCCTATCAGCATCTGCTTTCACTGCTGTTGTGCAGAAGCACTGCCCTGTCAGCACTACCCTGTCAGCAGGGCCCTGTCAGCGCTGCCCTGTCAGCACTACCCAGTCAGCACTCAGTACTGCCCCGTGTTCCACATCCACCCAAGGGTCACTTCTGCTTCCTTGCACCCCAAGTCCCGAGCCATCTTGAACCTGACACATGGCACGCGACATGTGACACATGAGGCAGCGTGGCGTGGGGATAAGGCGGGCACGTATATGTGCATGGTGACTGCTTCTGCTCACCGGTGACTGCTTCTGCTCACCGGTGACTGCTTCTGCTCATGGTTGGTTTGGAAGCTTGCACTCTGAAGGTCATATGGCATGCGACAGCAGCGGCATGCCCCGGCATGCAGCCAACCATCCATCCGAACATGCACTCACCCATGCATCCATTAAGATGTGCATGCGTGCACGCATACAAGCAACCATCCCCGCATCGTACATGCCAGAGAGCTCACCACTTCACGGCCTCTTGAATGCTTGCTTTGCCTGTGCCCTCCCCATCCAAGTACATGTAGCCGAGCAGCAGCTGACTCAGCGAAAGGGGCGCAATGGGGGAGAAGGAATAGTTGCAACATTGTAACAAGGTTTTCTCACATGCACTTCGAAGGAGGTAGAAGAGGACGCAGGAAGAGGACGCAGGAGAGGACGCAGGAAGAGGACGCAGGAGAGGACGCAGGAAGAGGACGCAGGAAGAGGACGCAGGAAGAGGACGCAGGAGAGGATGCAGGAAGAGGGAAGAGAAGTTCAGCTCTTCAAGCAACAGCAGCACGTAGCAGAGGGTCTGCCTGTCCATTCCGAGCAGCACGCCGCAGCCAAGCCAGAAGACAAACAAGCAGTTCAACAGAAGCAGCAGCACCGGATGTACCATCAGCACTCATAGCAGCAGCAGCGCACAGCAGGGGGTCAGCATTTGCATTCCGTGCCCCACGCAGCAGCCACGCCAGAAGACAAACAAGCAGTCCAACAGAAGCAGCGGCACCAGAAGTAGCATCAGCACTCACAGCAGTAGCAGCGCACAGCAGGGGGTCCGCCTGTGCATTCCGAGCAGCACACAGCAGCCAGGCCAGAGCCATTAGACAAACAAGTAGTCCGACAGAAGTAGCATCAGCACTTACAGCAGCAGCAGCACACAGCGCAGGGTCAGCCTGTGCATTCCGAGCAGCACGCAGCAGCCAAGCCAGAGCCTCCTCCTCGTCCCTGGGCCAGTCCCCATCCCCTCTATAGTACGCCTCGCCCATTCGGTACTGGCTCCCCTGGTGCCCCAGCCTAGCTGCTTTCCTGTACCACTCTAACGCCCTCTGCTGCTCGCCCCTCGCTTCCATCACCTCTCCTGTAATCACACACGCGTCCAGGTTTCCTGATTCTGCTGCCCGGACGACTAGTAAGGGGGGGAGGGGGCAGGGGGAGGGGGGGACTGGGGGAGGGGATCCTGGGAGGTGATAGTAACGAATGGTGATTGTTGGAGAGTTGAGGGGTGTGCGGTGAGTGGGGAGGGGGAATGGGGGATGGTGGTGGTGGGAAGGGCAAGAAGGCAGAGGGGGCAAGGGCACATGGGTGTGTATGGGTTGATACTGCTGATTGTGCTCATATATGTGCTGCGCATTGATTGATGGTGGTGTGGATGGTGATTGAGATGCAGCTGCTTCTCCCGCTAGTGATCGTGGCGCTGGAGCTGGCAGCGTTGCTGCTGCCGCTGATGCTGGTGGTGCTATTGTTGCTGCTGCTGCTGCTGTTGAGAGGGCACCTTCACTTGTTGGCGGGCAGGGCTTGGCGAATGTCACTCTGGCCTTCGCTATAGTCACATTCAGAAGGACGTGCTGCCACGCACAGCGGAATACGGCGGCCAGCAGCAGGAGTAAGCATGGGAAATGCTGGACACCAATTAGAGTAAAGGAGACAATTGGAGAAATCAGCTCGCTCACCTGGTTGCTGCTGACGTGGCAGCGCCACGCCTTGCAGACAGCGGCGCAGCTGATGAGGTCAGCAAAGGAAAGGCACAGGAGGATTCGCTCGGTGACGTCCCAGGGGAGGACGGAGGCCAGGCAGAGCGACGGGGGCGGCGGGGGGCGATGGATAGAGGACCGTTGGGACGTCTCAAGAGGTGGGGGCGGCGGGGGGGGTTATATATGGATGCCTGTCCAGCTGTCCTCATCTGAGACGAGGCAGGCGATGAGTCGAGGGGAGCGTGACGCGGGGGAGAGGAGTGAACGGGGGAGGAGTGGGCAGGGGTCGAAGGAGGAGAGGGGGGAGCGGAGTCCTCGGGAATGGGGCGAGGGAGTGAGGCTTTGATGTAGGGAGGAGAGGGAAGCGCAAGTGCGGGGAGATAGGAGTTGGATGGAGAGGAGGGAGGGGAGGGAGGAGGAGAGGAGCGACGAGACAGAGGGGGAGAATCCCCCCTGGTGTTGGAATGAGCGGCGGCGGCGGCCGTGACACTGTGCTTGCAGTCAGCAATCTCGTTAGTGTCACATTCGTTAAGGGTGCTGTCGTTTGAGTCACGCTCAACAACCAGCGCGTCCCCGTAAATGTGGACGATCCGCGCAAGTCTCCCCGCGCGCTCGTTGATCTCCGCGCTGCTAGGTGCAAGCGCCCAGAACACCACCAGGCGCGGGCAGATCCGCGCGGAAAACACCTGCGCAGACGCGGGCGCGCCGATCGCAGAGAGCAGCTCGTGCTGCCACGTGGCGGGATCTCGTTGGTCCGCGGGGAGCAGCAGCTCGTGCGGAGGCTCGGCGTAGTTCGCGGGGAGCAACGTCGCGCGGAGGTGGCGCGCAAAGTTGGCGGAAGAGTGGCGCGTGGAGGGGGAAGGAGAGCGGATCTCAGATAACGCCTTACAGCACCTCCAGGGAGCCGATTCGGCGATCTTCGGAGCGGGGTACTCCTCACCACGTGGCATATAATCTAAGAAGCCCTCCTGTGCGGCGCGTCGACGGAGCGTGAGCGCCATCTTGAGCGCCTCGTGTGATTCAAACGTACGAGAGTTCAATGACACTCTCTCGTTCTGCGACTGACTATGTCCGTTATTAGACAGCGCGAGAAACAGCGATTTTGTTCCTAAGGCGAGAATTGGGTTCATTTTACTACATGCTCCTCAGAAGCATATTCCTGAGAAGCCGGAATTGCGGAGGAGATTATGTGGCCCAAATTCCGGACCTTACGAGTTCTACCTATAGTTGCAACTATGGTCTAAAATGCTCTAAATGACTGGTACGGATCGGTTGTAAACGGTACTGTTTGTTTCATTTCGGTCATGTGCAGCGGAGTCCCGCATGCACTGCTGCTGCTACCTCAGCCTCGCTGCTTCCACGTGGGTCCCGAGATTCGCGAAACCGAGGGAGCTCTGTCACGAGATTGGTGGCTGCCCTCCGCATGTTACCCGCCTGTTCAGGGATCTTTGGGATACTGTCAGTGCTACTGGCGAAGCGTCACGTAATGAGTCAGAGTTCGTCACGAAGTGCTGCGAGTCGCTGGCGACACATCTGACACAACTTTCACCCCCGATCAACCAGCGGGTGCTGCGAGGTCGTATCTCGCAAAATCTGTGTAACCAAAAACGATCGTCGCATAGCTCGTAAGCTGGGTTGACGTGGCCTGCTCTCAGCCGCGACTTTACTGGAACTCCGTGGTGCCACCACAGCCCTCGGAACATCGCGATTGACGTGACGTCATTATCATCCACGTGGCGTGGTACCAGAGTATTCTTCCTCCTCGTTCCCTTTCACCACCTAGATTCCATCACAGCGTGGAAAAGCAAATTGAAATTCAGCACTAAGTAGCCATCTCCTAGATCAGTCTTTCTGCAATAAACATTCAATCTCGGTCCCTAGTACATCTTTCCTTAGCTCACACCAGATTGCTTCTGCACTGCTGGCTTGCGGATCCCAGCTTGCATAGACTGTTTTTATTTAGTTATAATTATTCAGCTACATAGGCTCTGGTGGTAATTCCCTCTGCCGCTATGGCTACTCGTGCCCTCCTCCATCCCCACTCCGGTGCCTCCGCTCTCCAACCATCGCGACCCGTCAGTCTCAGCTCAAACTCCCAACGGATTGTTTTACTTTCTCGGCCGGGGAATTCGAAACAGACCACCTGCGTTATACGTGCTGAGCGGGTCGCTCAACAGCCCACAACTGCTAATCTCGTCAAATTTCAGTCTGGTAGGAAGCGTCGCGGAAGCATCGTACGCGCGGCGGGAAGAGTAGGGACTGAAGCCGCCGATGTCGATTCCAGCAAGGCCGACGTGGCAGAGGTAGCGGAAGATGCAGCGGTGCCCCCTGCTGTGATCGCTGACCTAATCGCCTTCCTCCAGCAAGAGCTGCCGAAACTGTTCGTCGAAGGGGTGAGTGTTGCTACACTGCAGGTGACCGTTGTTCGTTATATTGGCACTGTAGGGGTAAGTCGCACCTTTCAAGAGCTGCCGAAGCTGTTCGTCGAAGGAGTGAGTGACGACCACTGGTCGTTAAAATGGCACTGTTATTAGGGATAAGTCTTCGTTTAAGGGGTAGACAGTAGTATCACGGGTAACGGGTATGTTGCTGCTTCGGGGATGAGTCATTATGCTTCGCGTTTCAATCAGTTAAACGCTTTCCTCGTTCGTTCAGGGCATGAGCTCGGCGCGCTTCGCGGATAAAGTGGAGTTCGAGGACCCCATCACGCGCTATGACACTCTGGCGGGATACCTCTTTAATATCCAGATGCTGCGGTACCTGTTCCATCCCGTCTTCATTCTGCAAGACACGTACCAGGTATGTACCCCATATAGACTTACGCCTTACAAGTTGCAGTAGCTACCAGAGAGATACTGTCCGGTTCGGCGGCAGAACAGCAGCCTCCGTGTCTCTTAGGGGCATGACGGCATGGCATTACCTCTTGAGGTCATTCATTTTTTAGAATACAAAAGAATGACTCCACTGGGGCACGGCATCGCCTCTCGAGGTCACTCATTGAGAACATACTACCACACGTGGTAAAACGAAATTTTGGAATCACAATTCAGGCGGTAAACAATCGCACTTCTGGCTGCCGCCATGGTGGGCCATTAATACCCCCTCCGAATCCCTCTTCCACCTCATCCCCTTTACAGTCCAGCGCAGCGCCAATCACAACGCGGTGGACCATGAGCATGCGCTCCTGGCTGCTGCCATGGCAACCTTCCCCTGTTCCCCTCTCATCCTATCCCCCCCCACCCTTCTTTCTCCAATAGTTCGGCCCTGCAGAGATCGCCAAGCGCTGGACCATGGACATGAATGCATGGCTGCTGCCGTGGAAATCAATTCTTCGCCCCTCCTCATTCCTATCCCCCACATTTCCTCCTTTCCCCTTTACAGTCCGGTCCAGCGGATATCACATCCCGCTGGACGATGAAGATGTACGTCTGGCTGCTGCCGTGGCGGCCGGAGGTGGTGTTCACGGGGCTGTCCGTCTACAGTATCGACCCACGCTTGCAGCCTCAGTTCACTGGGACCCACTGGACTGGACCCACTGACAGAACCTGACTAAACAGTTGCATGCCCTTTACCTACACTCTCTCCTTCCCATTCTTTCTATGCCTGCTTCCTCAAGTCTCGTGTCTGACCTCCCGAACCTCGCAGACCGGCCCGGCAGAAATCACGTCCCGCTGGACCATGAAATTGTATGTCTGGCTGCTGCCGCGGCGGCCAATCCCTCCCTGCTCCTCATTTCTCCCCCCATATCTCCTCCTTTCACCGTTACAGTCCGGTCCAGCGGAGATCACGACCCGCTGGACGATGAAGATGTATTTCTGGCTGCTGCCGTGGCGCCCAGAGGTGGTGTTCACAGGGCTGTCTATCTACGGCATCGACCCGCGCTCGCAGCTGTTCGTGAGCCACAGGGACGTGTGGGACTCCATCCAAGACAACGGGTACTTCTCCCAGGAGGGGCTGAGGGACCTGGTGAAGCAAATGATGACGCTCTACTCGCCGCCTGCTCAGCTGAACTCTCCCCCCTTTGATGTGCTGCTGCGGCGAGCAACCTATGAGGTGAGCATGCTGTGAAGTGGGTTTGTAGTCCAGGGACGTGTGGGGTTGAGTGGACCCGCGCTCGCAGCAGTTCGTGAGCCACAGGGACGGGTGGGACTCCATCCGGGACAACGGGTACTTCTCCCAGTAGGGGCTGAGAGACGTAATCAAGCAGATGATGACGCTCTACTCGCCGAGCGAGCGAGCGAGAGCGGGCGAGAGCGAGCTGTGTGGTGGGTGTGTGTTCTGTCCGGGCCTCGTGGGTCCGCGGTATACTTCTTCTTGAAGTGCTGCTGTGGTGGGCAGGCTATGAGGTACGCCAGTTACCCTGGAATCAGCCTTGGGGACTTAGTCAGCAGGTGATGACGCTCTACTCGCCGCCTGCTCAGGTGCGCTCTTCAGATGTGCCGGTTTCTCTTTCCTTGGATGTGCTGCTTGGGGGAAACAATTGCGAGGTGGGATGTCGTCGTGGGTATCTCAAATCAGGGTGAGGGACAACATTGTTTTTCAACGGTTCACAGGGCTTTTTCTCCAGCTCTCTTCCCACATTTAGGAATGTTGGTTTCTGAAAACAGTTTCCATTTCTTGGGCTCCCTCCACTCACACATATCCCCGATACTCACCCCACCTCCCTCCCCCCCCCCCATTCGTCTCCGCCCATCCAGGTGCGGGAATATCCTGCCTTTCAGGTCGTCCAGCTGAACACGCCCGTCCAATCAACGTCTGACATCTGGCCCTCTGCTCCTGGCGCCCCTCCCAGTCCGCAACTGGAGAAGTTACAGAGGTAAGGAGCCTGCATTCACTGTGTTATGTGATGAGGTGAGAAACCTCCCCACCTCCTCTCATCCTATCACCACATGCTTTCTGACCCCTCGGAAGCTCAGCGAATCAGGTCTCCCTCTCCTTGCTCCTTTCCTCTCCCATTACAGGTACTTCCAGGAAGGGAACAGCCAGAGAAAAACCATTCCCCAGGGCCCTATCATGCTCATCAGCCCGCCGGATTCCGCCGGGCAGGATAAAAAACTGGTGATGGCCATTCCCCTGGATGCTCCACCTCCCACACCGACCGATCCGGACCTGACCATTGGCACTCTACCAAGTGGAACATGGGCAGCGGCATCATTCGGAGGGCTCCCATTGGCTGAAACCTTCTCAGCAGCAGCTGCTTCTCTGCGTGCTGATGTCACTGCTGATGGCCTGCTGCTGGCCTCAAGAGGATCTGGCACAGGGGGAGCTACTGCTGCTGCTGGGAGTGGAGCTACAGATGGGACTACAGCTGGTTCAGGGAGTGGTACTACAGATGCTGAGGGTGCTGGGTTGGTGGGTGCTGCATCTGCACTGGTGTCTTACCCAAGTGGTTCTCCGATTCCGTTTCTGAAGGTAAGAATTTCAGGCCGTCTTTTCACGGACGATACTTTATACAGCCCTCTTTTTGTATTCCACTCATTGTGGCTTTTTTGTTTTTACTGGTGTGCCTATGCAGAGAAACGAGGCACTGTACAAGCTTGAAACCTTCTTGCTGGAGTCTACTAGACTGGGTGCTCCATACTTGTAAACACAATGTTTCCTATGTGAGGTGCGTTGCGCATGCCCAAATGTGTTGCATACATCGCGTTGAAGTGCATAATGCGAAGTGTTTTTGGCAAAACCCGACACTACTCGTACAATAGTCAGGCCAGGACTCAGGTGGAGGAACCGCCAATGTGTTGTTGAAAGCGTCTGAGCGCTTCACACGTGCGAGGGGAACTAAGCATTGGCTTGTTCGATTTGAGGCGGCACCTTTGGCACGAGACGAGAGAGGTTCGGTTGGGTCAGCCCCGTTGGGCGGCGGCGAAGAGTGAGGAAATGGTTTGAAAGAACAATTCGATACCCCCGTGATATATGTTAGATGGTCAAGATGATCGTGCTTGGGTCTAGTATGCGTGCTTGAGTTGCGCAAGCGCGGCACATACATTGATGTGACACATCATGATTCATGATGTATCACAGGCTCGTGTGACACGCGTATCAGCACAGTCGCGGCTCAAACGCGGTTTGCCAGTGTGGCAGTCCGCCGCTTTTCAACAGTGTCTCAATGCTAAACCGCTTGACCGTGGATGATTCGTCGCCTACACGAAACGCAGCTGTCGCACACAAGTCCCGCACAGACCTCACGAGGCCCGCACACGCGCGCAGTGCTCCCCCGGTCTCGGCGCAATCAATACAGTATGGAACCAATCGGTCGGTCATTGGACCTCCTTCCGCTCCCTTCCGCTTTCCCCTCGCCAGGGGCCTCGCTCCTGTCTCAACTTCTCCCCACATTACATCTCCCAAGGGCCTTCGTTTTTCGATGGATACCCTACCCAACCATTTTCTATGATGACGAATATCTCTAGAACGCGAAACACCCATTCCGACCGTATGGGGGTGAACACTCATAACACTCCCCAAACCCACACTACTGTTCCGCTACTAGGAGAACCGAACTTGGAATATTGTAATTGTTCACGGTGTTCCATAACGGATCCAGGTTCTCAATAATATTTTATTCCCGAATATGTAACTCCAACCAACTATGACTCCTCTTCAACAATCCGAGCACATGAGAACACCACTAGCAACGCACAGCCAGCCGCACTCAGTTTCCCCACTCATCCTGACCTCCAGCACGCGAGTCTTCCAATCCAACAATCCTGTGTCTTCCAGCCGAAGCGGCGCGGAAAAAAACTCGCGCTTTAAGACGAGACCTTGAAGACCTTGAGCACGAGCTGGTGGCGCGTGCTGTCCTTCACGCTAGAGGCATCCATGGCATACATGAACGCCGTGCCTGAGTACCCGACGTAAGCCCCCGTGGTTCCCGTTACAGCGAGCCTCCCCACTTTCTCTGTCCACTTGAAAGCTCCTGGAAGAGGGAAATTCGCGGAGCCAGGTAGACAGACAATAAACGGTTGGGATCACTTGACATCACTGACTCTAGTGGTGAGTCAACGGTACTAAATGGAGAAGCTCTAGTTGTTGTACTACTAAACTGATCAATAGTAATTACCCACCTGTGGCGGTGATGACTCCGTTACCAAGGTTGAGGCTGCATTGGACCATCAGCATGTCATTCCACATGATAGTCGCATAAAGGTAGTGCTGCCCCACCTGGCATGGGGCATCACAACGGGCAGGAAAAAATGTTACGGGGACATGGTGTTGCGTTAGGAGCTTCGAACGGATACGAGCCGTTGCATACTACACGCAAGTTTATCCCACGATATGTGGAGCAGGTTCAAAGCGATGCTGAAAATGTGCGATGGGATGCGGTGCGATGCGATGATGATGCGATGATGAAGCTGCGATGCGATGCGATGGACGGACCAAGGTGGTACCTTGTTTGTGAAGGCCTTGCTTTTGTAGAGGGGCGTGCTGTACATAAGATCCTGCCCCACGCCAGATCCAAACTGCAGTTCACACATGCGCCACCAGAAACAACTCGTTAAAAGGCCGTTGGTTAGTAGTTGTGACAATACTAACGCGCATGAGCAACGCTATGATTAGTGAAGGTTGCACATTGGCACGTTGTGCGTTGAAACGCGGAACGCTCTAAGTTGAGATTCGGAGTCCCGGCGAACTCACGGTTGTGTAGTTGGAGTTGACGTTGAGGTTTTCGTACAGCACCGCCGTCATGCGCTTGTATTTCGAGCCGTCATCCGAGTCCCTGCTGCTGCTGTCGCCGTTGCTCCCGCTGCTGCCACTCCTCTCTTTGTCGTCGCTTCCGCTCCGCTTATCGTTTCTGCCGCCCTTCTTGTCGTCGCTGCCGCTGCGGTTATCGCTGCCACTATGGTCGTTATCCAATGGTCGTTGTACTGCACGTTGCAAACAAGAGCGGGAGAGAGAAAAGAAGAGATATTACTGAAAATGCGACGGAAGAAATGGTAGACATCTACAATTCGGAGGAGGGTATCGCCGATTGAAACGACAGACACGGGAGAAAAAAGGGAAGACCGAGGAACACACTACTACTAGTATGAAGGCCCCTTGTAAAGGGCTTCAGATTTGAAAAGCGTACATCCGACTCACCACCGTAAGCAGCGACGAACTGCACGACGAAAATGAGCGCCAAGAGCGCGACGAGGAGAGCGTGGTTCCCGCGAGCCATGGCGAGGTACTTGGAGTAACGAGCGCTAAGAAAGACGAAGCGTGCAGGAAAGAGGTTTGAGGAAAATGGGAAACGAGTAAAAGCTAAATACTGCATTTGCACATTGGAGGGGCGTGTGGTGGAGGCTGCTCCGCGCGTTGGATGAGCGGGGGGGGGGGGGGAGTTGGCTTCCGCCAGCGGGGCTGGATTTGGGGAAGGGTGAGGAGGACCACAAATAGCGGCGACAGCACAGACGACACGCGGGCGACTAGCGTGGCGACAACTTGGAAGGAGGGGGGCGATTGCACGATTGAAATTGACCCGGGAGCACTTCCTCCGAATGGTGGGCAATTTCGTCCGTCGCCTCCCCCCAACCACGACACACAGGAAAATCTTCTCCTTGCGAGTGGCTCCGGGCCGCGGTGCGGTGTTGTGGTTGTGGCGTCGCGCGATTGGCTCGTTAGAAGGCCCGTCGTGGACAGCGTTCTACATCAGCACCATGCAAAGACGGGTAGCAATTCATAATTCCTACTCAGAACACAACAAGCATGGATGCTCCTCCTTTTTGTAGAAGAGATGGTTAGTTTTTCATAACACAAAGGTCGTAACACAAAGGTCTTAACACAAAGGTTTTAAAAAAATCAGATAAAACATGGAAATCAAATCAAATTATGAAAATAAATGCGCCTAATATGGAAACTTCACATACCATAGAAGTATATAATTTCATCAAATTAATGATTCACAAGATTTCAGATCTAAATATAAGTGAATACATCTTTTGAAGACTTCACATAGGAAAGAGACCATGTGTGACTCAAAAGCATTACACCATTGTGGCTGTCTATGTACACTTCAATGCTCAAATTTCCAGCCTCCGTAGCAAAGTACGGAACGCTCTGTTCCCCGCTCCCATGCACTATCGCGTACAATAGAACAGTAACGACGCTATGCTTCAGCCAGACTTCTAGATCCGAGCCTTCCGTTCATCTCTAGACTTGGCTACGGACCTTCAGGATCACTCGATACGCTTCTCGAACCTTCACATCCTACGACTAAGTTTAGCCTAGGGTTCTTATATACTGCTTCGTCACTCGTTATTGTCACTATCCAGTTGACAGTTTCGCTATTGCCCTCCGCGCTACTCGGCAGCTCTATTCATTACAGTACGCAGTACAATATGTTCCATTGCCCCACGCACTATCGTGCGACTGCCACCCCACCCACATCCCCCTTCATCCCCCTCCCACGCAAGAGTGGAGGGCACTGTAGCTTGCGGAATGACCCAGGGAGGAAGTTGTTGGGACTAAGGAGAAGGGTCAGGTGGTCGCAGGGCGGACAGGTTGCCGTCCTCTGCCGCACTGCGGCAGAACCAAACTGGGGAAAGCGCGAGACGACACGCAGGGCAAGGGCGACAGGCGTAGGCGACCTGTCACCGAGAGGAGCGGCACTTGTAGCCGCAGCAGACCCGCTATCACCTGCCCTTTCGGAAAAACACGCCAGGAGCGTGGGTGGGAGGGGCCAGGGGAGGGGCGAGAGGAAGGACATGTTGTCCCCCCACCTCCCCCCCCCCCCCTTAACCCCCCTCCCCCCTAGTTGTAGATAATGGAGCGTGCAAGAGGAGAGTGTCATTGGTTAGCAAAGTTGGGCGCAAGCTTAGCGCGAGGTGCGATTCGGCCATCTTCTCCATAACTCATTTCGTTGGGTTCGGCGGCGTGTGTGTGTGGCTCGCTTCAATCGGAAGTTCCGCCATCGTCGCAGATAGGTACCCCGTACCATTCAGCATACGCCGCCTGAGTAGAGCTTCTTCGGTTCGGGAATCGGTTCGGGAGCAGGGCTCTCGGTTCAAGGGTAAACATCCGGAATGTCAGGTACATTCCAGGTCTTTCCCGCTAAAATCCTGATTTTGAGGGTTTCGGAATCACAAACCTCGTGACTGATTCCGGGCGTTTCCAAGGAACTCCCTGAGCAATCCGGATTGCGCGAATATATATACTGGCCATCCGACTGGCATGGAAACTCACCCGTGCTGGAATTGCACCCTTTCCCTCACCCCCCCCCCCCCCCCCCCCTCCCCCCCCCATTCCTTCGCAACCCTGAGAATTCTCAAAAACACCCGGCAGCCATGGGTCCTCGCGTCCCTTCTTTTACCCTCTCCGTATTCTCCTCCCCTCTCATCTCCTTAACAGCGCCACGGCGTTCAACGTGCGTGGTGGGTCGGCGAGACTTCAGTGCATTCGGGAGCCATGGTGCTGCGGATCACGTGTCTCTGAAGCATTTCAATTCGCTAACAGACGCCAAGACGTACCTGCAGGTTGGTTTACCTCCCGGTACAGTCACATTTCTACTTTGGCAGCCATGGTGCTGCGGATCACGTGTCTCTGAAGCTTTTGAATTCGTTAACAGACGCCAAGACTTACCTCCAGGTTGGTGTTATTGCACCTTGCTTGTCCGTGCGATAGTAATTTCGTTTTGATGTCATTTCAATGTCATGTCAAAATCATTTCAGTGTCATGTCCATGTCACGGCAGTGTCATGTCGATGTAACGTCAATGCCCTGTTGGTACCACGCTGACTCCATTTTGTTGTCCGATAAGGACCGCAGCTCATTCGGAGTGGAGATGGCTGAAAATGCTGCTGGAGGTGGTGCATTTATCCATGCTGTGATTACGCATGCCATGTTATGCTTGCTGTGTGTGGGCAGTGGCAGAGGGATTGCAGCACACCTTGGGTGGAGATTGCTGTCAATTGTTGTATTTATGCATGCTGTACTTATTCATATCATGCCATGCTGATTCATATCATGCCATGCTTATTCATACCATGCCATGCTTATTCATGCCATGCCATGCTATGCCATGCCATGCCATGCCATGCTCTGCTTGTTGTGTGTGGGCAGTAGGAGAGGGATTGCAGCATATGCGGGGTGGAGATTGTTGACAATGCACGCCCCATACAGCCACACCCATTCTCTGGCAACACAGCTTTTCTCCTTGGCAACGAGGTACCTTCCCTTCCACGTTCTCACACTCCTGCAGTTCTGTACATTCTCCGGTACTCCTTCATCCTCTAACGTCCCTGCTGCAGTATGTGCAATGCCGTCTCTCTCTCCCCTTCTCTCCCCTCGTTTGCTCTCCTCCTCTCCTTTCGCTCCCTCCCCACGATCTCCCCTCGCCCAACAGGGCACAGGCCTCTCCTCCACTGAGCTAGCAGTGTGTGATGCCTTTGTCGACATCCCTCACAGGCCTCTTGGGTGATGCCTTGGTCTACGTCCCTCACTAAGCCCCAAGCCAACCCCCAAACCGTCGTCACTCATGAGTGGTTTAGAGGCGCCTCAAAAGCACGTCGCTCACTAGGCCCCAAGCCAACCCCCAAACCAGCACCCCTCTCCCACCAGGGCACGGGTCTCTGCCCCACTGAACTGACGGTGTGCGATTCCTTTGTCTACATCCCTCAGCACGGGCCAAGCCTGTCCCCCAACCAAACCATCACCCACCGAACCCCCACTCACCCCTCTCCCAACAGGGCACAGGCCTCTCCCCCACAGGGACTAAAGTGCAAAGTTAGGTTTGAATTGGTTAATAATAAGCTGTGGTAGTAGCATGGTATCATCCTCTTGCTTATCTGGATACCGTAGCTTGATATGAAATTGTTCTATTGCAGACGTCTTCCATATGCTAAGGGCCCTATGCGTACTGCCCTGTCAACACTGCCCTGCCGGTACTGTCATATCAGCATCTACTTTCACTGCTGTTGTGGAGAAGCACTGCCCTATCAGCACTGCCCTGTCAGCACTGCCCTGTCAGCACTACCCTGTCAGCAGTGCCCTGTCAGCACAGCCCTGTCAGCACTACCCAGTCAGCACTCAGTACTGCCCCGTGTTCCACATCCACCCAAGGGTCACTTCTGCTTCCTTGCACCCCAAGTCCCGAGCCATCGTGAACCTGACACACGGCACGCGACATGTGACACATGAGGGAGCGTGGCGTGGGGATAAGGCGGGCACGTATATGTGCATGGTGACTGCTTCTGCTCATGGTTGGATCGGAAGCTTGCACTTTGAAGGTCATATGGCAGTGGCATGCCCTGGCATGCAGCCAACCATCCATCCGAACATGCACTCACCCATGCATCCATTAAGATGTGCATGCGTGCATGCATACAAGCAAGCATCCCTGCATCATACATGCCAGAGAGCTCACCACTTCACGGCCTCTTCAATGCTTGCTTTGCCCGTGCCCTCCCCATCCAAGTACATGTAGCCGAGCAGCAGCTGAGTCAGCGAAAGGGGTGCAATGGGGGAGAAGGAATAGTCGCAACATTCCGAGCAGAGGGTCTGCCTGTCGATTCCGAGCAGCACGCAGCAGCCAAGCCAGAAGACAAACAAGCAGTTCATCAGAAGCAGTGGCACCAGAAGTACCATCAGCACTCATAGCAGCAGCAGCGCACAGCAGGGGGTCAGCATTTGCATTCCGTGCCCCACGCAGCAGCCTAGCCAGTAGACAAACAAGCAGTCCAACAGAAGCAGCGGCACCAGAAGTAGCATCAGCACTCACAGCAGTAGCAGCGCACAGCAGGGGGTCCGCCTGTGCATTCCGAGCAGCACACAGCAGCCAGGCCAGAGCCATTAGACAAACAAGTAGTCCGACAGAAGTAGCATCAGCACTTACAGCAGCAGCAGCACACAGCACAGGGTCAGCCTGTGCATTCCGAGCAGCACGCAGCAGCCACGCCAGAGCTTCCTCCTCGTCCCTAGGCCAGTCCCCATCCCCTCTATAGTACGCCTCGCCCATTCGGTACTGGCTCCCCTGGTGCCCCAGCCTAGCAGCTTTTCTGTGCCACTCTAACGCCCTCTGCTGCTCGCCCCTCGCTTCCATCACCTCCCCCATAATCACACACGCGTCCAGGTTCCCTGTTTCTGCTGCCCGGAAGACTAGTAGCGGGGTGAGCGGGCAGGGGGAGGGGGGGACTGGGGGAGGGAATCCTGGGAGGTGATAGTAACGGATGGTGATTGTTGGAGAGTTGAGGGGTGTACGTTGAGCAGGAAGGGTGAATGAGCAGTGGTGGTGGGAGGGCCGAGAAGGCCGAGGGGGCAAGGGCACATGGGTGTGGATGGGTTGATAACCCCGAACGTGCTCATATATGTTTTGCACATAGGCGAGTGGTGGTGCTGATGGTGTCTGTGATGCCGTTGCGTCTGCCGACGGCGGTGCTGATGCTGCTGGTGATGCTGCTGGTGATGCTGCTGGTGATGCTGCTGGTGATGCTGCTGGTGATGCTGCTGGTGATGCTGCTGGTGATGCTGCTGGTGATGCTGCTGGTGATGCTGCTGGCACTGGATCTGGTGCTGGTGCTGGTGGCGCTGCTGAGAGGGCATCTCTACTTGTTGATGTGCGAAGCTTGGCAAATGTCACTCTGGGCTTCATTATAGCCACATTCAATAGGACGTGCTGCCACGCATACCGGGATACAGCGGCCAACCTCAGGAGCAAGCATGAGGAGAAGCAGCTTCAAGCTGGTTGACGCATTGGAGCCAGCAACAGGAGCACGCATTGTTTAGGGGCAGCATTTGACGACAAGGAGCAATGGCGGCAAGGAGCAAGCGTGCAATCAGCATTTGAGTGCGAAACCATGAGACATCCTCACGAGGGCACCATGCGTGCCTTAACTCACCTGGCTGCTGCTGACGTGGCAGCGCCACGTCTTACAGACGGCGGCGCAACTGATGAGGTCAGCAAAGGAAAGGCACAGGAAGATTCGCTCGGTGACGTCCCAGGGGAGGAAGGAGGCCAGGCAGAGCGACGGGGGCGGCGGGGGGGTCGGTGCGGATGACCGTTGAGACGTCTCAAGAGATGGGGCCGGCGGGGGGTTCTGTATAGCTGACACCCCAACCCCAGCTGTCTCAACTTGAGACGGGGGCCGCGGTGAGTCCAAGGGAGCGTGACGCGGGGGAGAGGGATGAACGGGGAGGAGTGGGGCGCGGTCGAAGGAGGAGAGGAGGAAGCGGAGTCCGGCGGAACGGGTCCTCGGCGTGAGGCGTTGCGGTGGGGAGGAGAGGGATGCGCAAGGACGGGGAGAGAGATGATGGAAGGAGAGGAGGGAGGAGAGGAAGGAGAGGGAGGAGGAAAGGCGCGAAGAGACGGAGGGGGAGAATTCCCGCTGGTGTTGGAATCGGCGGCGGCGGCGGCCGTGACACTGTGCTTGCAGTCAGATTGAATCTCGCTAGTGTCACATCCGCTAGAGGCGCTGTCGCTTGAGTCACGCTCTACAACCAGCGCGTCCCCGTAAATGTGGACGATCCGCGCAAGCCTCCCCGCGCGCTCGTTGATCTCCGCGCTGCTAGACGCAAGCGCCCAGAACACCACCAGGCGCGGGCAGATCCGCGCGGAAAACACCTGCGCGGACGCGGACGCGCCGATCGCAGAGAGCAGCTCGTGCTGCCACGTGGTGGGATCTTGGTGGTCCGCGGGGAGCAGCAGCTCGTGCGGTGGCTCGGCGTAGTTCGCGGGGAGCAACGTCGCGCGGAGGTGGCGCGAAAAGTTGGCGGAAGAGTGGCGCGCGGAGGGGGAAGGAGAGCGAATCTCAGATAACGCGTTAAAGCACTTCCAAGGAGCCGATTCGGCGATCCTGCGGACTTGCGAATCCCAGCTTGCATAGAGTGCTTTTATTTAGTTATAATTATTCAGCTACATAGGCTCTGGTGGTAATTCCCTCTACCGCTATGGCTACTCGAGCCCTCGTCCACTCCCACTGTCCCTCCGCTCTCCAGCCGTCGCGAACCGTCAGTCTCAGCTCTAATTTCCAACGGATTGTTTCTCTTTCCCAGTCTGGGGATACGATACGGACCACCCGCGCTATACGTGCTAAGCTGTTCACCCGTCAACCTACAGATGCTAATCCCGTCAAGTCTCGGTCTAGCAGGAAACGTCACGGAAGTATTGTACGCGCTGGGGGAAGAGTAGAGACTGAATCCGCTGATGTCAATTCCAGCAACGCTGACGTGGCAGAGGTAGCGGACGATGCGGCGGTGCCGCCGGCTGTGATCACGGACTTAATCGCCTTTCTCCAGCAAGAGCTGCCGAAGCTGTTCGTCGAAGGGGTGAGTGGGTGCTACATTGCAGGTGACCGTTGTTCGTTATATTGGCACTGAAGGGGTAAGTCGCACCTTTCAAGAGCTTCCGAAGCTTTTCGTCGAAGGGGCGAGTGACGATCACTGGTCGATCAGATAGCACTGTCATTAGGGTTAAGCCTTCGTGTAACAGGGTAGACTGTAGTCATCATGACTCGCGTTTTACTCATCTTCTCGCTTTCCTCGCACTCTTCAGGGCATGAGCTCGGCGCGCTTCGCGGACAAGGTGGAGTTCGAGGACCCCATCACGCGCTACGACACTCTGGCGGGATACCTCTTTAATATCCAGATGCTGCGATACCTTTTCCACCCCGTCTTCATTCTCCAAGACACGTACCAGGTGTGTACCCCATACAGACGTACGCCTTACAAGTTGCAATAACAACCAAACAGTTAGTATTCGGTACGTCAGCAAGAGAGCATTGTCATTGCTTCTGAGGGGGCATGACATCGCCTTGTGAGGTTACACAGTGAAAGTACACCCAGCACGCGTGGTGACCATATAAGCGAGATTGGGAATCACAATCCAAGCGGGGATCAATCACAATCCAAGCGGGGATCAATCACAATCCAAGCGGGGATCAATCACATTGGATGTGCAGTGAAGGGATTCTTCTGGCTGTTGCCATGGCGGGCCATCAACCCTCCTCCTCCCATTTCCACCTCATCCCCTTGCAAAGTCCGGCCCAGAGGATATCACAACATGCGCTAGACCATGAACATGCGCTTCTGGCTGCTGCCATGGCAACCAATGCTTTCCCCCTCCCATCCTTTTCCCCCACCCTTCCTTCTTCAACAGTCCGGCCCAGCAGAGATCACCACCCGCTGGACCATGAAGGTACACTTCGGGCTGCTGCCATGGAAACATATTCTTACCCGCTCCTCATTCCCTCTCTGCCTTCCTTCCTCCCCCCAATCCCCCCCCCCCCTCCCCCCTCCCCCACTCCAACTATCTGGTCCAGCAGAGATTACCACGCTCTGGACCATGAATATGTATTTCTGGCTCTCTCCCCCCCATCGACTCGCGCTCGCAGCCTCAGTTCACTGAGAGCCAGTGGACCCTGCATTTGAGTCGACTCAACAGCGGACACTACCTGACCGAAAAGAGCCACGCCCTTAAACTCCCCTCACTCCTTCCCATTCTTTCCATGCCTGATTTTTCAAATCTCGTGCCTGACCTCCCGAACCTCGCAGTCCGGCCCGGCAGAGATCACAATTCGCTGGGCCATGAAGATGTACTTCTGGCTGCTGCCGCGGGGATGGTGTTCACAGGGCTGTCTATCTACAGCATGGACCCGCGCTCGCAGCCTCAGTTCACTGGGAGCAACTCGACTGACCGAGCAAATCTAACCGAACTGAGGCTGACTGAACTCGACAGACCGACAGATCCTGACTGAACAGGTCCACACCATTTAGATTTGAGGCGCCTCAAAACTAGACTGAACATTTTTGAGGCGCCTCAAAAGCGTGAGGAGTCTATTTTTGAGGCGCCTCAAAACTAGACTGATCAGGGCCACACCACTTCCCTCATCTAACTCTTTCCCGTTCACTCCATGCCTGATCCCCCACGTACCTGATCTCTTGAACCTCGCAGTCTGGTCCAGCAGAGATCACGACGCGGTGGACAATGAAGATGTATTTCTGGCTGCTGCCTTGGCGGCCGGAGGTGGTGTTCACCGGGCTGTCTATCTACGCCATCGACCCGCGCTCGCAGCAATTCGTGAGCCACAGGGACGTGTGGGACTCCATCCAGGACAACGGGTACTTCTCCCAGGAGGGGCTGAGAGACGTAATCCAGCAGATGATGACGCTCTACTCGCCGCCCGCTCAGCTGAACTCCCTGCCTTTTGATGTGCTGCTTCGGAGAGCGAGCTATGTGGGGGTGTGTGTTCTGTCCGGGCCTCGTGGGTCCGCGGTTTACTTCTTCCAGAGAGGTGCTGAGAGCCTTCGTCAAGCTGAAGGTAGATGTTGACGCTCTACTCGGCGCCTGCTCAGCTGAACTCTCCTCCTCTCGAAGTGCTGCTGCGGTAGGCAATCTATGAGGTACGCCAGTTACCCTGGAATCAGCCCTGGGGACTTAGTCAGCAGTCAGCAGGTCATGACGCTCTACTCGCCGCCTGCTCAGGTGCGCTCTTCAGATGTGCCGGTGTCTCTTTCCTTGGTTTTGCTGCTTGGGGAAAACAATTGCGAGGTGGGATATCGTCGTGGATATCTCGAATCAGGGTGAGGGACAGTATTGTTTATTAACGGTTCACAGGGCTTTTTCTCCAGCTCTCTTCCCACATTTAGGAATGTTGGTTTCTGAAAACAGTTTCCATTCCTTAGGCTCCCTCCACTCACACCTTCCCCCGATACCCTCCCCACCTCCCTCCCCCCCCCCATTCGTCTCCGCCCATCCAGGTGCGGGAATATCCTGCCTTTCAAGTCGTTCAGCTGAATACGCCCGTCCAATCAGCGTCTGACATCTGGCCCTCTGCTCCTGGCGCCCCTCCCAGTCCGCAACTGGAGAAGTTACAGAGGTAAGGAACCTGCATTCACTGGGTCATGTGATGAGGTGAGAAACCTCCCCACCTCCTCTCATCCAATCACCACATGCTTTCCGACCCCACAGAAGCTCAGTGAATCAGGTCTTCCTCTCCTTGCTCCTTTCCTCTCCCATTACAGGTACTTCCAGGAAGGAAACAGCCAGAGAAAAACCATTCCCCAGGGCCCTATCATGCTCATCAGCCCGCCGGATTCCGCCGGGCAGGATAAAAAACTGGCGATGGCCATTTCCCTGGATGCTTCGCCTTCCACACCGACCGATCCGGACCTGACCATTGGCACTCTGCTACGTGGAACATGGGCAGCTGCAGCATTCGGAGGGCTCCCATTGGCTGAAACCTTCTCAGCAGCAGCTGCTTCTCTGCGTGCTGATGTCACTGCTGATGGCCTGCTGCTGGCCTCAAGAGGATCTGGCACAGGGGCAGCTACAGCTGCTGCTGGGAGTGGTGCTACAGATGGGACTACAGCTGGTTCAGGGATTGGTGCTACAGATGCTGAGGGTGCTGGGTTGGTGGGTGCTGCATCTGCACTGGTGTCTTACCCAAGTGGTTCTCCAATTCCATTTCTCAAGGTAAGAAATTCAGGCCGTCTTTTCACATACGATACTTCATACAGCCCTCTTCTCGTATCCCACTCATTGTGCCTTTTTTTTTTTCCACTGGTGTGCCTATGCAGAGAAATGAGGTACTGTACAAGCTGGAACACTTCTCGCTGGATTCTACCAGACATGGTGCTCCATACTTGTAACCACAATGTTTCCTATGTGATGTGCGCATGCCCAAATGTGTTTCATACGTTGAAGTGCATAATGCGTAGTGTTTTTGGCAAGACCTGACACTACTTGTACGATAGTCAGGTCAGGTCTCAGATGGAGGTGTCAACTTATACGGTACACATGTTTGTATGTAAAAGTTATAGGCTAGATAGGTGTATGTTCTTAGAGGGTACAACTTTAACCCTATCGCCCTTGTTCTCACTTATTTCTAGCCTTTCTCGTATTCTAACATGGTATCATAGTAAGATGGGTCCACTCACACGCTTCTGCCCCTCGTCTAGCCTACCGCCGCATCGTACCCTAGCCTACTGCATTTTCCGATCTTTCTGCTTTCCCCACTGTCACTGACCTCGCTACTCACCTCCGTGCACTGCCGCCCAGCTCACTGCCTTCCCCCCACCGTTCAGTGCTACCCTGTACCTTATTGCCATGCGCTTGCCTGACCGTCTAGCCACTGCCCGTGACCACTTCCTTAGCCAGCACCTTGGTGACCTTACCCAGACCGCCATTGTCACTGCCCTTTCTTAGATAGAGACTCACCCGCGCATTATCGCTCAGTCGAGCGGCGTTGCGGCGGTCCCTACCTTTCAGAGCTGTGCTCCCTCCCAGTGCACGTACGCTGACGTTTCCGCCACCGTCGCTACAGCTGCTCCTGCCACTGAGGCCGCAACGGCGGCTTTCCAGTAGCAGCAGGGACAGCGTCGCGACCACCGCAACCCCAAGGGAGGGCGTGGTGGTGGTGCTGGTGGTGGAGGTGGTGGGGGTGGAGACAGTGGTTCTGACGAGGGGGCTGGGGCAGGTGTCCAGGAGCAGCAGCAGCAGTCGCAGCCGTAGCCGCAGTAGCAGTAGCCGTGGGCCCGCCTCTCACCGGGGTGGCCAGGAGCCCCTGGAGGTGGTGGCCGCGGTCGTGGTCCTCGCAGCTCGGCGTCTACCAGCGGCTTCGATGCTGTGGGTTGCTAGTACCAGCTCCAAACCAGGCCCCTCCCTGGCACTGTGTGCCGCCGCCCGCACCCGACCGCTCGCTATTTCCGCCGCCTCGACGACCTCTTCCGTCACCGCTTCGGCCCGGCCCTGGACCTCCCTGCGTGGCCCAGTCTTCTGCGCCACGGTATGCCTGTGTTTGACTAAGACATGGATCACATTAGTTCTGCCCTGCATTCTCTGTGTGCTGACGATACTAGTGTATCCGGATCTTATTACCCTGTGTTCTCTAACTTAGGCATAGCACCTGTGAGTAGTACCGACACCCATGCTGCGTCAGGCGTAGGACCGCTTGCTTTGTCTAGCCTAGGCTCTACCCTTGCTCCTCCTTCATCCGCCGCTACCGCTTCGTTGTCCTTCACACTTGACTCCGGTGCGTCTGCCTGCTTCTTCCGCGACTACGCTGCGCTTAAGTCGCTTGCCGCACCTGCTGCTGTTGCACTTGCTGACCCCTCATCTGGTCCTATAGTTGCTCCTAGCTACACTACCCTTCCCTATCCAGCGGTTCCCTCGGGTTCCCTCACATGCCTGAACATTCCCTCGTTCTCTCGGAACTTAGTTGGTGTCGGCTGTCTTCAGGACCTCAGCGTCACCACTACGTTTCCGAGTCACGAGCGGTACGCCATCTGTACCGAGGCCGCCTCCGATTCTCCCCTTGCGACGTTCCCCCGGGACCCAGTGTGTCACAGGATCGAATGACTCGAGGAAAGATTGCACTATCGATCAGTACAAGGCGCTTTTATACTTCCAGAGTACATCAAGTAACCAGGTTTATCTTATCCCAAGGGAATAGACCCTTCTAGAAGATAGAATCACCCTGCGTATAGCCACGCGAGGCTATCGGCTTTAAGGAATTACGGTAGGATTACGCTAGATATAGCACGCCAGTACATCCCGAGCCTGGTCGGTGATATAATCATAATACCAGGATAAACCAAAGGATAATGGAAAAGGAGGAATAGGAAACCAAATGAGATGATGTAAAGACCAAATGAATCAGGATAAAAAGAGGAATAAAATAGAAAGGAAATATGGAAAGGCCAAGTGGTATAACGGGGTCGTACTCTCACACAGTGTCTGGCCTCTTTACGCTGGACAGTGCTTCCCCCCCCGGGTGGACCGTCCTCCCTGGGTCCTTCCGCCTACCCAGGTCGCCGCTGCATGCTCGTGTCGGTCGCTCACTCACCCGTCGCTTCAATGCAACACCACCTAGGTCACCCCGCACTCCCGCGTCTGCGTCACGTGTCCCAGCAAGGTCTCGTCCTAGGTCTCCCTTCGTCGCTTCCTGCCCTACCTTCCTCGCATGCACCGCTGTGCACGCCCTGCATCGAGGGCCGGCTGCGCCGTGCTCCTCACTCCTCCTTGCTTCGTTCTGCCACCGCACCCCTCGACCCTGCACCTGGACGTCTGGGGCCCAGCTGCAGTCCCTGGACCGTGACGCGAGCGCTACTTTCTTGTGCTCGTTGATGACCACATGCGCTACACCACGGTGTTTCCTTTGGAGTGGAAGGCCGACATGCCTGACGTTCTTATCCCGTGGGTTGTCGCTGCGCGCCTCCACCGCTGTCTCCCTGTGCTGTGTCTCCACTCCGACCGTGGCGGCGAGTTCACCTCGGGTCAGCTTGGACAATTCTGTCATGCGGAGGGCATCACCCAGTCGTACACCCTACCTGACTCCCCGCAACATAATGGGGTCGCTGAGCGACGCATCGGTTTGGTTATAAAGATGGCTCGTACCTCCATGATTCATGCCGGTGCAACCCATTTTCTGTGGCCGTTCGTCGTTCGCTACGCCGCTCACCAGCTTAACCTCTGGCCGCGCTCCCAGTGGCCGCAGGTTTCGCCGACCCTTCTTTAGACCGAGTTCCCTGGTGACGCGTCCGCGTTTCACGCCCGGGGCTGCCTAGCTCACGTTCGTGCCTCTGGCACGGACAAGCTCACTGCCCGCACTGTCCCCTGTGTCTTCCTCTGTTTCCCCCTGGACTCGTCTGACTGGCACTTTTACCACCCGTCGTCTCACCGCTTCTTTCACTCCCGTGACGCCACTTTCGACGAGTCTGTCTCCTTTTACCACCACTTTCCCCACTGAGGTCTCCCGGTTTCCCCTCCCCTATTTTTGGTCTCCACTCCCCCGGTCGCCCCTAGTCCCCTTCCTCCCCGTCCTCCTCTGTCTGGTGCGTCTCACGTCACTCCTCTCCTGTCGGTTGTCCCGGTCGAGGAGTCGGCTGACTCTGGTGGCCCTGCTGCACAGTTTTCGCCGCCTGTGTGAGAGTACGACCCCGTTCCATTCCTTTCTCCTTCCCATCTTCCCTTTCCATTTCATTCATCTTTGATCCTGATTCATGTGGACTTTATCTTATTCCATTTGGAGCCGTCGGATGGAGCTCGCCAGTCTGGGACGGTCAAAGCGTACAACTCGCGGCAACATTGATGCGAGGACCGGCACTCGAGTGGATCGGCGGTAACAGCACCTTCATCCACGGTGAAGCCACGTGGCAGCAGTTTTGCACCGACCTGCTGAAACGTTTCGAGCCGATAAATTCGGGTTTCCTTGCCCGAGAAAAAATTCATCGCCGTCGACAGTTCGGGAGTGTAGCACAGTATACGCAGCAGATGGAAGAATTTTATAACCGCATTCCTGACCTGACCGAAGGGGAAAAAGTACAGTCGTATCTCGCTGGGGTGAAGACCAAAGTCAAACGGCAGGTAGCAGCGACGAATTACGCGAGCTACAGTGACGTCGTATCGGTAGCGGAGCGGTTTGACATGGTCAACGCCAGAACACGACGGGCGCACGTCGGCAGTACACGACAGGGTGACCGCTCGGCTCACACCACGTTCGCCGTCCCGATGGAAATCAACAGGTTCGACGGGCGGCCACGTCCGAAAAGCACCAACTACACGTGTGATTTTTGCGGGGTGCCGAGCCATCGAATCTTCGATTGCAACAAAATGAAAGCCGCACGAGCTGAGTATCGAGCACGCAACAGTGGCGGAAATCCTTCGGCCAATCAGAAGCCAAAAAACGGGACTCTCCAGTAATTGCGGATCTAGCTGGCGAAAAAGGAAAGATCCGAAAGCGGCTGCGGACTTCCGAAAAAATCAACTTCGACGCAGCTGATTCGATGCGAACAGGAGAAAATGATGGGGAAAATTCTCCACCCCACGACCAGTCTTTGCCAGAGGAAATCGCCGAGGAAAAATCTAACTTCGCGAAAAAAGGACTCTGCCAAGACGGGAAAACTCCTTGAAGACCCAAGAAATTATAAGGATTTTTTTAAGTTATCTTATAAAGTTGCTTTAATGGAAACTTGTAATTCTCGAGGGGCTAGAGCCTTGGAGAAATTACGGGAGGGACTCCAAACGAAGCAGAAAATTGTGGAGATCGTACCGCTACCAGAGAACTTGGGGACCAAATTAAGGAGTGTGGAAAGAAGCCGACCTTTCCACGGAGTCAACGTCCTCTCCCGACACCAGCCCACAGCGACTACCCGTTCCCCAGGGAAGACGTCGGTGGAGCTGAAGCAGCTCAAGAGGAAGTTGGGGGTCTACAAGAAGCTGCAAAAACCCCAAACTCCTCCTTCGCATGCATCTAGCTCATCTAACTCGGCAACTTCGTCAACGACACGAACAGTCGTTACGGAAACTCCGGGCCATGGAGAAGAGCCTCTCTCCAAGCAGCCTCGGCCAGCTGCAAACTCAGGAGTAGGAAGCAACGAATACTGGGATGTACCCTATGACCCAATCAATGAAACTATCTTTGGGTACTCTGAGCAACGCCTGCCCCTCGTGCTCGAGGTCATCTGCAAAGGACGACGCCTCCAAGCACTCGTGGACAACGGAGCATCGCACACCGTATGCGACAAGGCAACCATCGACCGACTTCGAGAATAGTGCAAGCCATCGGCGTTTTCTGCAACGATGGTGGACGGCATCAAGTTACCAGTGTACGGCTAAGCAGTGCTACACCTACAAATCGAGCCACTGCGCTGGAAAACTGCTCTCCCCATCACCAGCATAAAAGGGCTTGACCTGATCTTCGGGCGAGACTTCCTCAAGAAATTCAACCCCGAGATCAACTTGGTAAACTGCACCGCAAGCATCTACAATAAGGAAGGAGAGTCCAGCTACCCAACTGGGATGATACAGGAGATATCCCAGTGGAGACACTCACAAGGTTCGAAAAGGACGTAAAACGAACCAACACTGGGTCCCTGGCGTTAGCAACAGACGTGGAAAGG